CATTTTTGTTGAAAAGATCTTAACCATTCAGCCTAAATTCAATGATTCCCCAACTTCTTTAGTCACTCGATCTGAATCAGGAAATTCATTGTATACGAATTTTGCACACTTTTCCACAGTGGCTGCTAATGTTCTTAAAAAATGTTTTCAGACGTTCTTCCTGTTCTTACTAAGATTGTTAATCTTTCAATAACAACTGGTACTATGCCATCTGAACTGAAGGCTGCAGTCATAAGACCTATTCTCAAGAACCAGACACTGCCAGTCGGCTCCAGAGGAGTTTAATAGCTTTCGACCGATTTCAGACTTAAAGTTTCTTTCCAAAGTCATTGAAAAGGTAGCTGCATCTCAATTGGTCGAATATCTTGAATATAATGCCCTTAATGAAACTTTTCAATCAGCCTATAAGAAATTTCATATCGTTGAAACAGCTCTTCTCAGAGTTCACAATGATATTTTGGAAAGCATTGACAGTCAAGGCGCTGTTATCCTTGTCTTGCTTGACCTATCAGCGGCTTTCGATACTGTTTAACATGGTCTGTTGCTAAAAAGGCTTAACACTAGGTACGGCATTAATGCCTTAGCTCTTCAATGGTTTAAATCTTATCTATCTGAAAGATCTTTTCGTGTCAGAGTACAGAGTAGCTAATCTGCATCTCGTACTTTTTCATGTGGTGTTCCTCAGGTTCAGTTTTAGGCCCCATTCTTTTTCTCTCGTATACATCACCTCTTGGTGATATAGTACGGAAGTATAACATTGACTTTCATTTGTATGTTGATGACACACAGTTATATTATATACTTTTCCTGCATCCTCTCCCCAGGACTTGCAATTGCAAAGACTAAAATAGAAGCTTGTGCAGCCGACATTGATAGATGGATGGCTGCCAATAAGTTAAAATTAAATGGCGATAAAACTGAAATTCTGATCTTATCAAATTTTCATCGTCCTTGACCACCAATTGTTTCTCTTCATATAGCTGAGTCAGATATCTTCCCGTCCTAATCGGCAAGGAATTTTGGAGTAATTTTTGACGAGGAATTCACATTTGATGAACATATAACTGTTGTGTGCAAATCTTGCTTTTTCTTTATTCATAGTTTTTGGAAAATTCTTAGGTACCTAAGTATAAGTGCATGTGAGACTCTTTTCCATGCCTTCATTACATCTAAACTTGACTTATATAACTCTCTTTTATATGAACTTCCAAAATCCTCTCTCCAGACGCTTTAGATTGTTCAAAATGCAGGGGCGAGGCTTGTAGCTTTGAGTCATAAGCAAGACCATATTACTCCTATCTTGTATGACTTACACTGATTGCCAGTGGAACAGCGAATTATTTTCAAAATCGTCTTACTTACCCTTAAAGTAAAATGAGCCTTACGAAAAATCAGCGTCAAATCTTAAAAGCGCATCGAGTAAATGTTTTTTTACTAATTGTTGTTGTAAAACTCAAAAATGAGAGCTTTGATAAAATTTACATTTTCGCGGTTTTTTTTCAAAACGGCTCTACGTTTTTTTCTTTAAACTTCCTACATCAAAAGACCAAAGCTTTATCTAGATGATAATGAAATTTCTAAAGTTCGTCCTATCCAAATTTTGGATGATGAGGAGAAAAACGCTAAAAACTAAAAATAACATTGTTTGATTTTCGGCCATAATAGGTACCTTTGTAAAAGTAACTTTGTGAAAAAGTAGTTTATTTTCTCAGTTTTGAGTTCCTAATCTTATCTAAAGAAGATGGCAAATAACTTTGGAATATTGGGTAAAAATTGTATAGAAATCGTACCACTTGATATTTTAAAATATTAGGTCAACTTAAATTGGCTGTACCTTAAGCAAATTACCTATCCTCCAATATCTCAAAAGCAATTTAAAAACCTAGGTCAAAAAATGGAGAAAATAGGCAATGAAGTAAACGCACCAATGCTTAACAGCAATTTTATATTAATTCCAATTTCAGTAAGAATATGCTCATTCGAAAATTTCATCTTTCCTTTGAAACCTCTAAAACAAATTTAGCATTGGACTGTTTGCGTCCGAGTATTTGCGATTTGAAATTGCATGGAATCGCGCGGATAAAACCCAGTGGAGCCACCTTAAGCTTACTATATTTTGAGACTCAATTTTACCAGTTTTTATCTGTTTTCATGTGTGCGAGAAAGATACGGAAATCATGAACGACAAAAGTTTTCGAAAAACAAAGTTTTCATTCAATTAAACTTGACAAGAACAACTGAGACTAAATAGAAAATTATGCAAAATATAAAGTGACTAATTTCTTTGTCAGTAAATTGGCATCTGTAAATGCTTTTGAGTATTTTTTTAGCTATTTAAGTGAAAGTCTAGGTCTTTATACAATAACATCTATCAACAAAACAAAGTTAAGCTTATTTTTATAATCATACTTGCTCGAACAGCTTAATAAACAGTTGAATATTTGTTGTAAATTATCTGTAGAAAATATATAATTATTGGATGAAAGTCTTCTTTGTTTTGCCGATGGGACACCGCGATAGGAGGCGAACAAAGCTTTTTCTTGAACGAAAAACATACGAAAAATGGTTAAAAACAGCCGAATTGTTAAAGATTTACAAAGCTAAATAAAGGACGAATATTTGTTGTTGTAATATACTCTCCGTGTTATTTTTCCTCGAGCATTAAAATAAATCAAGCTTTTATCTATAGAAACATAAAACGTTTTGAGAGAAAGTTTTTGATTTGTCGATTCGTCGAGAAAAATGCTTGTCAAAAGAAATAATAATATACGAATGTTTGCTAAAAACACACCCCTGAATGCTTGAAGAACACTTCTTGATTCATCTTTGACTACATGAAAAGTTGTTTAACATTGTTTTTGGTCTATAACTTGTCCTAAAGCGATTTTTTCTGTGCATTTGAGAGCCGCATTTGTGAGTAGCTTAGCTTTGACATCAAGCGGGATTCCTGTGTCGTGTACAGGGGCGTACGGACGTACGGACGGAAGTGACCGCAGCCAAGTCATGAAAAATCAACTCGATGATTTACCATTTTTTTATAAGTATGGTGCTCCGCGCGGGAGCTCCGCTATAATCATGGATGAGCCAGTCAGTCAAAACTAATATTTAAACTTTGCTTATAAACTTTTAAGCTGAAGTTTGAATTGCTTGGATTCCTATTCGTAGGTCAAATAACTTTTTTTCTAGTATCCTTTTTATTTATTATAACATTTATTATATTCTTCTATTTAATTTTCTTTTTTCTACAAATTATTTTTTTATAGAGTAACTTTATTGTTATAACTGTAGCTGTATTTAATTTATCTTAAGGACGGTGCCTACTATTGTCCACGCGCACACGTACTGCTCATCTACATTCGAGGAATTTCAAAATTTATTACTCGAATTGCACAAAACAAAACGTTTATTTTCAATAAAAGTTAAAGCAGAAAACGATCTTAAGTAACCAAGGCTTGTTAAACAGATAATTTGCTAAGGTTGAAGTATTATTGACAAAGAATCATAAGTTTTTTTGGGCAAGTTTTGAAAAGATGGCAGACTCATAGTTCTAAAAAACCAAATCCTTTCCATAATAAAGTTTTTTACCGTTTCTTTAGATTTAATCCTATAAAACTTGAATAAAAAAAAACAAGAAATACATATGAAATTGAAAACTTATCATTTATCAATATCTAGGTGTGTAATTATAGTTTTGAAAATCTTTTTTTGGTCGCTAAGCACTTTCATCATGAAATTCTTTTACCTTGGTGTTTTCAATCTAAAAATTCCTCTTATTACGTACCAAATATTTCAGAAATTCCTTTCTGCTGTTAAGTAAAAAGTCGATAATAACTTCATTTCAAACCTAATAGTCTTTCTGGAACTATTAAGCTTATAAATATCGAGTTTTTCTCTGTGTTTTTTTGCTTGCATGGCAGGAAGCAGCATGTTTAGCTTGACGTGCAAACACGCCAAAAACAGGGTTTGTGGTCACGCCGTGTTTTATGCTGTGTAACACTTGTCAGGCATTCGGCATAAGATTTATCCCTAATAATGTTCTTTAAAAATTCGTATCTCTTAAAAACGCCTGGATACCCCTATTTTTCCTTCGTTTAAATGATRGAGTAAATGCTAAATTAGCCTCGTGAAATGAAATTTATAAAAAATAATTGGTTTTGAAAAGAATATGGACACAATCTTTATGTACCTACTGATCGAAAATAGGGAGCACGAAGCTAAAAAATTATATATATTATAGCCAACTATTAAAGTAATGGTAGAATTGGGTATATTTTAGTAAAGAAACAAAGTGTCAGTTATTTAGGACGATTTAAATTAGAAATTTCTCAAAATCTTTTRAAAAAAAAATTTTTTTCCTGGTGTTAGTAAAATCATGACGTCATCACTTTTTAACGATTTTTAAGCCTTATTTTTCTTTTAAATGCATGGTGACCCCTACTTTTCTAACCAGAATTTGACAACCCTTTGATAGGTTAAAATAATTAACATAGTCATTTAAAAAAATAATTGATTCTCAATTAGTAGGCGCCGTCCTTAACTTTATATATCAACTAATGAAAGCCTAGCTCGATAACTCCTACGTTTCTCAAAGGCTTCCAACATTCTTACTGTTGTATATTTCATATTTTTTCTTTCAAATTCAAATTATTTTGTAATTTTTTCGAAATGTAAAATAAAGGCATTATTAATGTATTAAGTTTGATTGGAATTCCTGCCGAGTCATCAATAACCAAAGAAATACAGAAAGTACTAGCCACCCATGTGGCAGTCAGTGTACAAGGCTCCGAGTGTGTAAAATCGGCTTTTTGTTATTATTGTTAATTGTTTTTTATCCAACTTGTTTATTATAATATATATATATTTTATAGAGTGAAGTCATTGAACCTGTGAAATACATATTAGACTAATACCGACATTAGTAGATCCTAATTTCATTGTTTTCTTTTGTGTCTATTTGAATATTACACGTTTTATTTCACGGGTTATTTGCCTTCACTCTATCAAGGCTTGCATAACAGTCTTTTAGTAATCCGAATGCAAGCTCGCCTAATATCTCTCATTCTTACCAGGTATATGATAGGATTTAAAGTAGAATTCAAGCCTACAATACTTAGCATGGTTATGGAAAAAATGGGTTCTGGATCTCCTTTCTGCTCAAACGTTATAAAAATGACTAAAAGAGGTAAGTAACAGATAAGGACCAAACCTAATATCAAAACCATTGTCTTTAAAAGCTTTTTGTATTTCAAAACATCGATAGCATTTGATGGTGTAGCTTCATTGCTTCCTTGATGGGAACCCTGTGGGTTAGTCTGATTACAGTAAACCTTCAGCGCTCTAAACGACTTGCTGTAGCAGAAAATAATTGTAAATAAGCAGATGGTGAAAACAATGCTGCCAAATATACCAACCCACTTGGTTGATGTATACAGAGGAAGTGACGTCAGAATAAATACCATGACCCATAACACGACTAGAAGTCTTCGTATTCGTGGTAAGGTGACTGTTGACCGATATCTAAGCTTGAGGGATATGGCCAAGTATCTATCGATACTGATAACCGTTACTGTTAATCCCGATGCAATAGTAACCATCATTGAGATATTAGTAAATAGAACATAAGAGATGCATAAAGTTTGAACATCTAGGTTGAAATACGAAACTGCAAACAGGCTATAACCGGTTTGGCAAACTAGTCCCATAAATAGATCAGTTAAAGCGAGATTTGTTACTAAATAAAACGAAGGAGTTCGTAGTTCAGGAGTCGTAAAAACAGCTATGATAACCAAGAGGTTAGCGATGGTTGTAGGCACCGCGAAGATTGCGTTGAAAATAGCCAAGAGTAAGCTTTGTAAATAACTGTTTTCTAATAAGATATTGATGAAACTAATGGTCGTGTTGTAATTGTTATTGCTACGGCAGACGATCTGGAGTAAATTGTTGTCAAAGCTTCCATTCATTGTATTCAATTAAAATGAAATTTATTTTTGTGTCTTTTCACTTTTGATATATTTTCCCTTGTTAGTTGATCTTGCAGGTGGCTTTTCTTTGCCCTTATCTTCGGCTTTCTTCGTTATTTCCCCCAGTTTTTTTTCGCTCTTATCTTCGGTTTTCTTCGTTTTCCCCCCCCGGTTTTCTTCGCTCCTATCTTCGGTTTTCTTCGTATTTTCTCCTGGTTTTCTTCGCTTTCAGATCTTCGGTTTTCTTCGCTATTTCCCCCTGTTTCCTTCGCCCTTTGATATATTTTTAGTTTAGTTTTGTTTTGTTTTTGCTTTGGTTGTTCTCTTTTGGTTTGCCTCTTCCTTTTTCTTCTTTTTTCTTTGTTCTTATTATTCTGTTTTATTGCTGTTGTTGTTTTTCGTTCTTCTTTAGCTTGTTTTTCTAACCTTGTTTTGTTGTTGTTGTTGTTTTTTCCCCGTCCTTCTTCTTTGGCTTTCTTCGTTCGTCACTAGTCGTCCTTCTTCTTTTTTTCTCTGTCCTTTGTCGTTCTTCAGTTTTCTTCCTTCTTCGAACTAGGTTTTCTTTCTCCTGTTTGGTCGTTCGTCCTTCGTATTTTCCTCTTTCTTCGTCGGTTTTCTTCGTTCTTCTCCTTCGTTTTCTTTCTTTCTTTCTTTTTTTCGTTCTTCAGTAGTCCTTCTCCGATTTTTTTAGTCCTTCGTCCTTCTTTAATTTTCTTCGTTCTTTCTCCGTTTTCTTTGTGTTTCCATCAGTCGTCCTTGCTTCATCGGTTCTTTTTTTTCTTCTTTTTCGATTTCCTTCGTCCTTCTCAGTTCTTCGGTTTTTTTCGTTCTTCACTAGTCAGTCCCTTTACAATTTTTCTTCATCCTTGTCCTTCGGTTTTCTTTGAATATCCTTCAGTCGTCCTTCATCGGTTTTCTTCGTCTTCTTTTTCGGTTTTCTTTCTCCTTTTTAATCGTTCTCTTTATTATTTCTATTTTTTCCCCTTCTTCTTCTTCTTTATGTTCCTCCTCTTGCTATCATCCCTTTCAGATCGAAGAACAACTTGAACACCGTCTTGCAAAAAAACGGTCGTGTCTACAGACGACACCAGCTTAATGAAGTATTCGAAAATGAAACGTCTCTTGGTGAATGAATTTGCTAATAAAAGAGATTGACTCAACTTTAAATATGGTTTTAGGTGACGTACAGGCGATTGTGAATTTGACGAATCATATATATGACTATACAAAAACTAATTCAAAGACAACCGTCATCCGTCCAGGAGATTTAGTTTTTTTGCATGGTGCGTACGGAATGACAATTGTCTTGAATACAATGTGAAAGTGGGTATTGAAAAAATAAAAATAAAAAAAAAAAAAAAAAAAAAAAAAAAAAAAAAAAAGAAAGAAAGAAATATGTTTTATGGTTTTAATATATTCTTTCACACCTGTCGTCTAGTAAACAGTTTTCATAAGTAAGAAAAAAGAGGACTTTCAAACATATGAAAAATATTTTTGACATGTATCTTCATTGCCGATGCCAGTTCTTGACCGTACGAAAACAACGTTCCTTATAAGCAAGTGCTATTTACGATTGAAATTTATTAGCTGGCATATTAAGCTTGATCGATGTTACTAAACTAAGTAAACATCAATTCATTCAAGCCTGAACCCAATAACGCGAATGAAAATGAGAACGCACCAAGTAGAGTCGTTTTCATTAACCCATGACACAATTAAAGTGTACTAATTAGGGCGCACTATTCACAAAAAGACAACAAAAAAATAAAAGAATTCTTAGTGAGGTAGTGCATAATACGCTAAAGTGTGTTTCACGGGTTAATAAAAATCACTTGTTATTCGCGTTATTGGGTTCTCAAATATTTAATAAATACATTCAAAAAAAGCTGGCCGACGTCACTTCTRTCCGTCCGTCCGTCCGTCCATCCGTCCGTCCATCCGTCCGTCCATCCGTCCGTCCATCCGTCCATCCATGTACACAACACAGGAAACCCGCTTGATATCAAAGCAAAACTACTGACAAATGCGGTTCTCAAATGCACAGAAAAAATCGCTTTAGGACAAGTTATAGACCAAAAACAATTAAAAAAAAAACTTTCATGTAGTCAAAGATGAATCAAGAAGTGTTCTTCAAGAATTCAGGTGTGTGTTTTTTTAGCAAACAATTGTATATTATTATTATTATTTTTTTTTTGACAAGCATTTTTCTCGACGAATCGACAAATCAAAGACTTTCTCTCAAAACTTTTAATATTTCTATAGATAAGCTTGATTTTATTTTAATGCTGGAGGAAATATAACATGAAGAGCATATCACGACAACAGATATTCGTCCTTTATTTAGCTTTGTAAATCTTTAACAATTCGGTTGTTTTTAACCAACTATCGTATGTTTTTCGTTCAAGAAAAATGCACCAGCTTTGTTTGCCTCCTATCGCGGGGTCCCATCGGCAAAACAAAGAAGACTTTCATTCAATAATGTTAATCTTTCCAAACATAATTTATTTTAATCGTTGAATGAAATATAATTTTACACCAAATATTCAACTGTTTATTAAAGCTGTTCGAGCAAGTATGATTATAAAAATGAGCTTTAATTTGTGTTGTTGAGAGATGTTATAGTATAAAGACCTTGTGTTTTACTTTAAAAAGCTAGAAAAAATATTAGAAAACATTTACAAACGCCAATTTACTGACAAGAAATTCGTCATTTTGTATTTTGCATTGCCTTTTGCATTATTTTCTATTTCGTCTCAGTTGTTCTTGTCAAGTTTAACTGAATGTAAACTTCGTCTCGTTCTGTAAAAGACATAAGTAAGCTTAATTTTCTGCTCGCCYTAAMCAGTTTTCAAGTCTGTTTTTTAGTCTTGATTTGTCCTAAATCTCCAGACTTTCGATTTCAATGAAAGTCATCCGAGGTAAATTTCACTAAACTTGATATTGTATTGGATAATCTGTAGTTATCTTTCGTTCTTCTTAAAGTAAAAGAGATTCAAAGCCTAAAACTGTCGGCCTTGGAAAATTTTGTCGAAGAAAATAACAAAACTAGCCACTGAGGGTGGTGGTGAATTGTGTACAAAATTCCTAAGTGGAAGAGTATACTCGCGCAAAAAAAAACAAAACAAAACAAAACAAAACAAAAACCCAAAAAAAACAACAAAAAAAACCCAAAAAAAAAACAAAACAAAACAAAACAAAACAAAAACAAACAAAAAAACAACAAAAAACAATGTTTGCCGATCTTATTTTTACCTTTCAGTGTGACTTCCGTATTGGGCGGTGCCTTAATATATATATTAATATAACAAACAAAGTTCATTTATTTTGTATAACTTATTTTATTTTTCATTTCCAGTTTTATTTTATCAAATTTCTTATTAAAATTGCCTTACTTCACAAGAATAAACACTTCCTTCTATGTAGTCCTTATCGCCCAACAACATCATTATACTCTACTTTCAAAGGATTACGGATCATTATACACCGAATTGAAATATGGCAACCCACTTAATTAATTAATATTATATATATTTCTGGACTGACTAGCCTCTCTTACATGTGAAAACACGTTTGTGTTTCCACGGGAACACAAGCCTATAGTCAGTACTGTGCCCGGTTGGACGAAGGGTGAATAGCGCTATCTGACGGATAAATTTTATTCACTGGGCCGATCCATGATTTAGATTTCCACTGGAGGGTTCAAACTCACTGACTGGACAAACAAACAAACACAAAACAAACGGAAAGAAAAAAATATCAACAAAAAAGAAAAAAACAACAACAAAAAACCAACAAACAAACAAAAACAAAAACGAAGAAAAAAAAAACCAACAAAAATTCAAAAACAAACAAACAACAACAACAAAAGAAAAAAAACAAAAACAAAAACAGCAACAACAACAACAAAACAGACAGACAGACTAACAAACAAACTCTGTTTTTGGTTTTTGGTTTGTTTGCTTAAATGCTGCTCTTTTCTAGTATCTTTGCTTGAGGTTTTAAATCTTTTTTTAAAAATTTCTGTCTGTCTTTCTTCTATTGTATTTGTTCATTCACGTTTTGTGCGTTTTTTCTTCCCTTTTTATTGCGAGGGGGTGTTAAGACAGAATGTACATCTATAGAGGCTTTGCACAAACAAGTGACGGCAGCCATGTTAGATGACAGGAACAATACAATCGTTCTACATGAGAAAGAATAAGCCTGAAGCGAGATGACGTTTTACCCCCGTCTCTAGACCATAATCCTTTTCACACTGCTTTTGTTCTTTAATTATGACTATTGTTCCTGTATTCTCTGAGGAGTCAAAAATTAATGAAAGAATTTAAAAACTATTATGGTATAGAGTCGGGGGTAAAACGTCATCTCGCGTCAGGCTTATTCCATTTCCGAGAGCAAAGGGATTTTATTTATCTAACCACAGGCAGCCCAAGCTGTATTATTGTCACCGTCTACTGCTACAAAATTCATGTTATACAATTATATTATCATAAAACTATTTTCCTTACCCTGCCTCTTGAATAAACATGAAGATTAACCCTCCCCGAGTGATCAGAATTTGTTTTTGGACTAAAAAAATCAACATTGCGTACCCTCCTTGGACCTGCTGTGGTTGAACGGGGAAGGTAGACGTCCCCAGTCCTTCTTCTTATACCTTACCACAGGCATCCCAAATAGTAATACCCATCAAAGAAAACTGTTACCGAAACAAGGGCCATTCTTGTCTAGCTAGAGTAAAAACCACAATCTAAGGTGATGTAATAACTCAAGCTAGACCAGAATGCAATACGTTTCGGATTTTTGAATATTATTTTGAATGTTTATTTATTTTTTTATTTAACTTAGTGGAATTCGGTATACGACTCGGTTACTGTACGGAATAGACCACTTTACCTTCGTTTCCCTGTTTTCCCATTACAGACCACGTGTCATTCCCTATTGTTCATTCCATTAACGGTTGAACAGGAGAGTTAAAAGACAAAAGTCATCGCGGTGCCGTTAACAAAGGATGCTAATATTTATCCGCCATAATTAACTTTATCCTAGTTACTAAATAAGGAGCCAATCCCCAATTAACCCTTTTCGGTTGTTATTTTTTGTACCTTTCCACTGTTTTTTTTTTTTTACTGAATGTCTAATTTAAAACTTGTAATTTTGTATGTGAAAAAAAAAAAAAAAAAAAAAGAAAAAAAGAACTCTTTTGTTAAATGGCACAGTGGTCTGAAATGGGAAAACATGTTTAGGGTAAATAGGTAATTAGCATGATGACGTCATTATCCTACCACTAGCACTTTTCTTATTCAAATTATTTCCTCGTGAGAATAGAAAGACAACTGGTGCTTGTTAACTGAAAAAAAAAGAAAGTGTGCAAAGGATTCTGGTAGTTGTAGTTAATGACGTCATAATGCAAATGTCCTATTGAAGAACGCCAGTTTAATAGTTCCTAAGAACAAGAAATTAACGTATGAGATTGTGTTCGAGGTCCGAGCTCACTTATTTTAATCGGTTAACGCTCGGTTTTAAGAAATTAGTCGACTATGAACGATATTCGCTTTGCTTAATGTAGTGATTCTTATGGGTTAACCGAATAGAATGCCAAAGTGTGACGCCATCAAATTTCAAGCTTTGAAACACTATATAAATAGAAAATGACAGCGTCTAGTACAAGTCTTCAAACTGAAATGTGGTTGCTAAGAGCTTTGCAAATTGTTCATTTTCTTTTATTTTGCACTGGTTCCAATCACTTTAGATCCAGTACCAAATAATGAAAAAATAAGAGGACATTTTGAAAAGAACCTAGTTTATTTCCGCCATTATCCGGCGTTCTATCATTAGGAAATTCTACAGCATACAGCTATTTCAAAAAATGTTGAAGGTTTTTCGCTACCGCCAGTCATATAAATGAAAGATACCGACTGATTAGGTTTGATTGACGGCAGCGAAAAGCCAAATTTTTGCGTGCAGCTCGCAGACACAGAGTTCGCATGTTTCGATGTTTCAAGTTTCGATGCATACCCGCTGTGTTTTTCAATCGCCAATCGCCGATCGCCATTTGTCGTTCGCCCCTTCAACGTTTTTTTAAATAGGTGTATCACAGTTGTGGATTCAGTTTCTGATAATGTCAGCAGAGTTCTAAACTTCTAAAAATATCGTTTTATGAGACCCCGACTTCTATCTATCCTCAGCGTGTGAGGTAGTCATTCATCATATCACTTAATACTTCATTAAAAAATAATATATAAATTATTTTAGCTTAGCTTGACTCTAAAGGAGTAGAGTTCCATTGGGTCGAGTTTGACCGGTGTCGAAGGATCTTTCTTCTCTTGTTCGTGTAGCATCGTTAGTGTCACAGCATTGAGTTCTGACATTGACAAACCTTTGAATAGGTTCCCTAGAATGACCTGCAACGATGAAGTAAATTATGTTGATAATGCTGATAAAGATGAGGATAATTCAGAAGTAATGCAGGGTTTGAATTGTGAGCTAGATAAGCGCTGACTTAGAGGAGCCCAGAGGTTGTTTCAGGGTTCCATCTGTGAGTTGGCCATGCCCTGACTTAGATCAGCCCAGAGGTTGTTTCAGGGTTCGATCTGTGAGTTGGCCATGCACTGACTTAGATCAGCCCAGAGGTTGTTTCAGGGTTCGA